ATACTAAATATATATGTATATATATATATATGTATGTATATATATACATATATATATATATACATTAATATATATTAATATATTATACACATGCATACTATACATGTATTGCCCTATCCCAATCATTGTGTCTATGGAAACGCTAATCGATATATTTGAGCCCGTGTAAACAGATAGGTCGTGCGCCAATACGATTGGTGAGTCAGTCAGAAGTTACAGAAAGGGAATTTGAAGTGAGATTTAACTGAGTATAAATTGACACACCTCCAGGAATTGTCTGGCAAGAGCAGCTTCTTCACCAATCATCAGGTCCTTGATCTCCATGCTACCGACTTTTTCGCTTGAACGCAAAACCGGTCTTCCCACCATCGACGGGAAAATGGCCGAGGGGAAATTGGCACCCGCGAATCCACATTTCACGAACTGATTAAAGTTTAGAATCCATAATTTAAAACTAATTGATTAGAAGCAGGGTTTAGGCGGAAGGAACAGTGAGTGTATTGCCGCCAGATACAAACGAACGGATGAGGTCACTCTTCAACTGTATATTGATAGCTTTACGCCAGAACAAGACGATTCATATGTGAGCTGATTGATTTCTCAGCCAATTTCGGTCATGATTTACATTTATACACTAGAGCCTGGAAACTTCTCCTTCGCGATATTGAACTAGTTGGGCCCAAATTGTATGCATTGTACAATTGCTGCTGTGCGAGAGGTAAATGAACGGCAAAAAATCCCCCCCCACTCTAATGAGATGCCTCACATACGTTAGAAATAATCTGGCATGTCTTATCGCAGTGCACCTATCGCATAGTATACTGATATGTCATATTCGTGGCACAGTATCGTGAAATGCTTTCGACACGACACGACACATAACCAGAATGAAGATTTCAATCACGACAACTAAAAGTCGGTGTCGCACTGAACTACAATTTCGTGACCCTTGTGTGGGAGAAAGAAATACATAGCACACTATTATAGCGATTCTTATTCCTGTTCAAACTCTATAGTGTTCAACAGATCACATACTACACAAGAGTCGAGAATATCCCCAACATATCTAGAAACGTGTGTACACGTACTATTAGAAACACACGGTACAAGGAAAATAATCCGACGATGACACATCTCACAAATTAATGAAAGGACGCACACGCATGACACATATATACATACCCCTGTACCATTATCGCAAACCACCAGGTTTCTACCCTCAGCGTCCGTCATTTTGAACGCTGTGTCGTCTTTGTTATTTGTTGTTAGATCGGACCAGATTATGTATTTGTAAGTACATAAATATTGTCATTACTAAATCAGCTAAATAATTATTTTTTTTACACCAGAAGAGTGCCAAAGCCCCCGAAGATTGAAGAACCGTTCTGGTCCTGAAAGGAAACTACAGGACAACAGCCAGCAAGATTCTAAGCAGTTCGGTACAATGGCTTTAAATTCTAATCTGTGATGAGTCATGCATATTTTTGTTATAAACCGTGGAGACTTGGCTTCTTTTTTTACTACAAAAAGCCACCCTTGTATTATGTAGGTGGCCGTTCTGACTTCTGTTTAGGTGATATAATAGCGCTTGGTAGACATAGTAGAGCTTAGCTTGCAGATAGTCTAATACTATGTCGAACATTGAAGATGAGAAACGGCAAGAGGCTGGCCTGCCGCCGCAAAACTCTAATCCACCCACCTACCCTGCCCCAGGTATGTTCATGCCACCAAAGTCATATGTTGTGAGAGTGCTTTCACTCAAGGTTCGTAAATTGAGATATTTTAAGCAAGCGTTTGTGTGCCGACTATTCTACTCTGAGATTAAATCAGCACTTCAGAAACAATAATGATTTCGAGCTTAGTAAGATTCGATCGTTTTCTGCTTAATCGCGATAAACATTTCCAGATTTTTTTATAATCTTGAAACATCTGCGGAAATGTTCATACCTGACTTCACACTATTGACCTACAAGCTATGCCAATGGTACACCCACTTGTACGGAAGTTTTATTCAAATTTGTACTGATCTACATACAAGTATGAATATTCACATATTATGATTGTGCAATAGGTATTCGATTTAGGTATCACAATATGGATTTATTTATAGTGTTCGACTATACAATA